GTAAAGCATTACATGTCAGGACAAAAAACATTTTTAGATTAAGAATCTAGTGATAATAACGATAATAATAATCATCTAGATAATAACGTATTGCAGTAGAGTAATGTCAAATAAAATAATATTAGGAACATCCTAAAGTAACAGCGGCCGACTAGATTTTTTCCTAAAAAATTACAGCAGCCCACTAGATTCTTTATCAGAAAATGTTTTTTGTCCTGGCATGTAATGCTTTACATTTTATTTTTAATTTCAAATCGGTGAGTTTTATCAAAAAAATAAAAGAGATAAAAAGTTTCTAAACAAACTAAACTATCACAACCAAATTAATTTTTTGCATGTGTTTGATAAGATTTTTCTTTAAATTTCGTTAACAAGAATGATAGGGGTAGTTTATTTCAACCCCTTCCACTCATTTTAAAAAAGTGAAAAATTACCAGAAAATGTGTTTTCATAACAGTAATGCTTCCATAAAATTTTATTAGTCTATCTCTTTTCGTTTTCAAGATAAAAAATAAAAACATTACTTTTCCGCCATCTTTGTACCGCGATATCTCCCTAATGGTTGACTTTTGACCCAACGTTTATGAAGCAAACTACCCTTTATTTTGAACAAGGAATCACCCCCTGAAGTTTTTCGCATTTGTTTTGAAACACCCTGTATATATATAAATAAAAAAAATAAAAAATTGTGTTTTATTTTGCTGTTGTAACATCAAGTAATTCCAAGCCCAAACTGTATGTATCAAATTAGGATAATAAAATATTATCTAATTAAAGTAGAACGTTAACCTAAAAAGAAAAAAAAATGTAAACTCACATATGGCGAAGATTTTATACTAAAAATTATAGAACGGATAGCCGTAAACAAGAAGTAAGAGTAGTTACCGCATTTTATAACTATAAATACATCGCATCCAAACCTACTAAAACGATAGTTTTCTCGAGTGCACATTCGATAGATATTATATGACTGTCTCAAGTTGGTCAAGCTGCCTTTCACAGGAAGCGAATGGTTTAATGGCGTATTTTTGTCTAGGGCAGCACCACTTCGATTTTAAATCTGGCAACGGATAAGGGTCTCTAAAACATACCGTCTAATTCTCTGCAGAAGACATATAAATGGTGATACCAACGATTCCATTGCTTTAAAAATTGTATAATATAATTCGTTATTTTTGAATCGTTAACATGTCACTTTTACGTACTTAAGAACCTTAATTTTCTACTAATTAAATTACCACTTAAATTTATACAGGTTTAATTAGTATTACTTTTTACTGTTTAGGATGATCAAGCGTACAGTGCAAATATGTATATTTTTTTTACTCTTTACAATACAATTATATACAATTATAGTTACTCCTTAAGCTTCATTCAGAACCTAGAAATCAGTGGAATAAATTAGTAGTTTCAATTAGCCGTAGAGAGAGAGAGAGAGAAGTTTGTTTACCTAATGTCCCATATAACACACAATATCCGCAGGATACTTATAGAATGTCGGAATGTCCCATTATAAGATCATCTTATAAAGACCTCTATAGGATATCCTCCAGACATCCTCAAATCCTGTAGATGTCTCAGAATAGAATATTCTATGGATATCTCTGTCGTATATCTAATGTACATCCAGCTGAGATATCCAAACATGCTCATGATAACAAAATATTTAGGAAAAATAAATAATGTACTACTTTTTGTGTTACATAAAATGCAATAAACCATACAGATAGATATATATTCCGTCAAGGCAACAAAATATCCTGTTGGTATCTTCTGGATAATCTGGATATTTATGAGCTTGGCCACTCCCAGTAATACCGAGAATTTAAAACGCCCGCGCAAAAAATTTCCCACAATCCATCTCGACAGTTGTTTGTTTTTGCATCGTGTATTATTCAGTTCTTTGATTTAGTGAAATTCGAGGTGAATTCCGTCGTTTGTCGATATTGAATGGGCTTAAAAATGACTGAAACTAACAAAACTGGCTGAGTTTGATTTAGTTTTTTCTTATAGTTCTAGCCTTGTTCTAGCAGAAATTCTTTCCTAACCTCAACTAATGTCGAAAAACGACGAACGACTCAGGGTCTCGCAATGAAAAATTTGTGACAAAATTATAGGTGAAAATTTGTTGAAAAGCGCTTGTTCTTTATCCCTAAACCCATTTTCCTGTTTTAGATCTATTCAAACAGAAATCCTATTTTTGTGTTTAAATTGTGAGTTTCTGGAATGTGTGGTGTTAGAAATATACCTGTATCCTGTGTGCTAACTTTGATGTAAACTGTTGCTGCTAGACATAAACTGCTAGACTCCATAAAGGGTAGTATAATCTGGTATAATACCATACGTTCGAAAAAAATGGCGTCAGAGGTGGCTTGGAAATGAAGATTGCTGTTATTTTGTATGTAAAATATATGGGGAATGTCATCGATCGCAATTTTCAAGCCAATTGAACGCCGTTTTTTTTCGATGGTACAGTATAAATTGAAAGCTCTTAACTCATACAAATAAACTTCTAAATTTTGACGCAAAATTCATTGACATAATATGTAGGTATATTTTAGAGCTGTTAATAAAAATATCCAATGAATAACGTCAAAATGTGGCTAAGTAAAACTAAATCGCGACCTTTTTTACTATAAACTAAGAATGAAGTAAATATTGTCAAATAACAGTCCTCATATAATGTTCTAAAAATATTCTATAATGCTCCCAACATCATCCTTGTTTTATCCTAGAAATATCCCAAATAATCGTAAAAGGCTTGCCTAGGGATGTCTTGAAGATGACTTTTTTTGTCCCATCTGGATATCCCATAAATATCCTCCTCTGGTTTTTGGATATCCCTAAGATATTTACTATATCCTTGGTGGATATCCTCAAAATATCTATAGGATTGTGTTGTGTTATATGGGTTTAATCACAGATTTTAATGTAAGTATTCAGAACGTCATAATTAGTGGTAGAAATTTTCAATTAGTGGAAAACGTTAACAAACTTTTGACCTTTCCACTAATTATACTTCAACTTTATTTTTTTTGGTTAGAAATCATAAGTTTATTGTTTTATAAGCTAAATATTATGCATTATCTACAACAGACTAACGCAAGCTGTTGCTAGGATATTCTATTAATTTTGTTTTTTAGACATTCTGAATGATCGTAAACTAAAAAGTATAAAGTGTAATCGAAACCACTAATTTATTCCACTAATTGGGAGACTAATGTTTAAAAACATAATTAAAATTAATATAATATCCTAGGGAGAGCTTGCGTTATTCAGTTGTATCCATAGACAGAGCCTAATATTTAGATTATAAAACAATCAACTTTTGAATTCTAACCACAATTTCTCTTGACAAAGGACAATCAAAGGCCAAAATAACATTTCTGGCAAATTTTGAAGTATAATAAGTGGAAAAATTAAAAGTTTGATAACTTTTTCTACTAATTGAAAATGTCTACCACTAATTTTGACGTTCTGAATGCTTATATACATTGAAATTAAAGGAACAAACTTCTACGCTAATTGAAACCACTAATTGCAAGGTTCTGAATGAAGCTTTAGTTTAAGATCATTAACAATGTCTAAAAAAAATCCAATTAAAATTAATAGAATATCCTAGCAACAGCTTGCGGGAGTCAGTTGTATCCATAGAGAAAGCCTAATATTTACCTTATAAAACAATCAACTTTTGATTTTTAACCACAATTTCTTTTGGCGGCAGATAATCAAAGGCCAAAATGGCATTTGTCGCAAATTTTAAATAAAATTTTAAAGCAAAAGTATAATTAGTGGATAAGTTAAAAGTTTGACAACTTTTTCCACTAATTGAAAGTTCCTACCACTAATTTTAACGTACTGAATACCTACATTTAAATTAAAAGAACAAACTTCTGCGCTACTTGAAACCACTAATTTATTCCACTAATTGCGAGGTTCTGCCAGAAGCTTTAAGAACCTTAATTTTCTAAAATTAAGTTTATACAGGATGATTCTTAAATAAGTGCAAATATTTTCAGGGCTGGTAGATCTCAATAAAACAAATATATTTTCTCTTTACGTATCTACTCTTAAAAAAATTATTTTTGGCTTAAATTTTAAGCACCATTTAATTTCATTCTTCTAAATTTAATCTACAGCCTATGTTGCTATATCATCGAGATATTATATTATTTTAACTAAAAATTTAAAAAAAATCCAATTTTTTTTTTGGAAAAATTCAAAAAGTTTAACCTATAATTTATAAAGTAATTAATACAGTATTTCATATTCACCCTGTATTTCAGGAACTAAGAGGGCTAGGACTAATCTGTGTGTAACATCTTTAGACTTCAAACGCCACAAATATTTTTTAAAACTAACCAACTTGTAATTATGAAACCAATTCGTAATTATTCGTATATATCGAGAAACTATGGTTAAGTTCGTTGAATTTGGCACTATGTCAGTTTTAATATATTTCGTACTTTTGTTCTTAGGCGTAAAACTGCTTTACTTTTATGCCTAGGCGTTATAAATACTTTTTTATGTCGTCAATCACGTCGCAAAAATTAATACTTTTGTGACGTTTGAAAAAAAATACATTTACAACTTTCAAAACTTAAGACTTACGAACTAAAACAATTAATTTACACTGCTGAATTTATCGACGATTTTTTAAGTTACTAAATTTATTAAAATTAATATATTATTTGCATTATTGTGACATTTCTTAACGGAACATTAAAATCCAGTCGCTTTTGAAAAATCCGCCCGGACTCAACCGGACGCAGTGAAAATTCGGACATGTCCGGATTAATCCGGACGTCTGGTAACTCTATGTGAAAACCGCATCTTTGTGGCTCTACTCATAAACGAGAAACGTTGCAAAACACACAAAAATGGGACACCCTGTACAACTGTATAGTAACCAAACCCCTTGAAATACCCTCTTTCTATTTTATTTTTATTTTTGGGTTTGTTGTTTTTTTACTAATGTATGTTTATCTATTTCATTTCAGATTCCGAGCATGCCTAAAGATGGTCGGAACCAGTGATGCCAACCTAGTAGGAAAACTATTTTTTAACGTAGTCCAGACGAAGTGTTTCGTCCTCAAACCCAAGAAGAAATGCGTGAGGACATCGTGGTGGGGCAGTTGTGAAAAACACAAGATGATCAAGCAAGCCATTCTGAAGAATAATAGACCCTATTAATATGTATCAATGTTAGGCAATAATATAAAAAAAGACCTAAATATTAAAAATATGTGTAATTTACAGTAATAGCTATGCATTTAGGCGTAGGTGTTAGGTCTTGATATTTAGGTCTTTTTCAAGTTAATGTTAAAACATTTAATGTAAATTCAATTACGTCGGTTGTAGCAATAATTGTTCTGTATAATATTTTCAACTAAGTTTTCTTTTATTTATTTCTTGATTTATATCGATTTTTTTCGAAAATGTAGGTACTTAAAAGCAAAACTTAATTTACAAAAAACGTTTTAAGGTCTCTGTTTAATTTCAAAGGCATCAGCAATACATTATTGTCCAATTCTATTCGTATTCAAGTGGAAGATTCTTAAAAAGTCTGGATATTTCATCTGGTTGTATAAACATCCATTATAGAAATAAATAAATTTATTTATTGTACACATCACTGCCTAGAATAGAAGATAAAACTATCTTCTTTTTCTTGTAAGATAGAATCTCTAACTTCTTTCTAACTTAATGATATTACGTTTATGTCCAGTTCCTTAATTTAATGCATTCAGAAAATATACAAAAATGTACAACCTGGTATCTCAATCAAAAATCTTCGGATTGTCACGGTTTTTAACAGGACACTATCTCCTCAACGAACACCTCAGTAGATTTAAACTAAGAAGAAAATAGACATCTTATCTGATAGTCAAGCAACACTAAAAGCAATCAACTCAGTAACCATCAATTCGAAATTGGTCATTCAACTAGAAAAACTGAACAAATTTGGAAAAGAAAATAAAGTCCTCCTACTCGGAGTACCGACCCACCATAGGATAGAAGATAATTAGAAAGCCAATGATCTAGGTAGAAAAGCAGCGAACGCTCCACTAACTGAACCAGAATCGTTCTGCTTCCCAAGTGGAAACCAACTTAAAGCGGAACTCAAGAACCTGGAAGACTCCATCCGTAACCTGGAATGGGAATCCTCCAACGGTCGAAGAAATTTCTCAGAACTTACGACCGAGAAAAATCGAAGATTTTCCTTGATTTAAGTAAGAACAATCCTCGGTGAACAATCAATTCGTACCATAAACTTTGGTACGACTGATATCGGAAATGGAAAACTAGCCTCTGTGCGACCGTCTCAGATACTGGCTTTTGTCAAAGCCATGAGACTAGATGATAAGTTATAACTAAGGTCCGACCGAGATCTAGGTTTCGGTCTCGGTTACAGTCATTCTCGGCTAAAAATCAGGCTGAGATCTCGGTCTCATTCTCGGCATAAAAAGGCCGAAATTATCGGCCGCGGCCGAAACTGTTCACGATCGTCAAATTAGCTTATTCTTGTGCTGTTCGCTCCACCTATCGATGCGTGGATGAATAAAATACTTGTCTGAATTCGAAAAAAAATAATCGATCATATCTGATCCATCAGCTGAAGAATCGCCTTCGTATTTCTATGCGTAAACAATGAACGAAATGTTAGTTGTTAGTGTCTTATTAATGTAAGTTTTTAAATTTAACAGAATTGTGTTTTTTATGAACTACTCGTATATTCTGCTAATAAGTAAAATTTTTGTGTGTAATTACTCACCTCCATACGGAGTTCTGAAACCAGCAGCTTATAGGTACATTTCCAGTCTGCACCACCAACAAGCATTTCTAGCAAACAACTATTTAGAAAGAGTAGGTATGCATAATTTTAAAGGATGCAATGCTCAAAAATTACCTTTTTAGCCTATAACAAGTATTTTTATTGGTACCTATTAGTAATTTTATAGTATTAAATCCCAATAAAACCGTTTCTGCATGAAAGTAACTTGAAAGTTAATTGAATAAATAAATATTGCATCGTGTCTCGATCTCGTTCTCGGCCGAGAATTTCTTTTTCTCTCGGTCTCGGTCTCGGCCGAAACTAAAAATCCAGGTTCGGTCGGACCTTAGTTATAACTCGTTATAACTCACGAAAGGGGACAACACAATAGAGATCTGTAAGGTCGCGGTGATTAACCCCCTCCCACATTCTACATTCTCTATCAATGGTGTAAAACGATTTTTTTTAAATTTTATTTTCTATTTTAAGAGTTATATTTACTATAGAAAATTATTCTAGTAGGTTTTAAATATATCAGAATAATAATTGGCTATTTTTGGCAATATAGTGATGAGATCTTCCATTTTTTTTTCGATTTGCGTTATTTCCATTCCAAGAACATGAGAAAATATCTTAAATGCTTTCCTCGATCTAAATTAACATGATATAAATTAATTAACATGATATATATCGTTGAAAAGCAATTTTATTTGTGTTTCGAATTTTTAAATAATATACAGGGTGGCGCCTCTCATACGCCGCGGAAGCTCCAAGGAGAACGGTATTTTATATCGAAATGAAATTTTGGCAGCTTATGTAGGTTAACTGAAAGCATTTTATAAAAATATATAGAATTATACAGGGTGTCCCCAAAAGAAGTTACACATATTTATTTTATTTTAAATAGAACACCCCGTATATTTTTCCGGTGTTCAATGGGGAATTTATATAGCTTCAAAATATTATTGATTGCCTCCCCCCCAGACAAATATTTTCTCAGATATTTTAATTTTTATGGTTTTGCGTCCGTAAATCTTTATTATTTGAAAAAATCTAGGTGCCTATGTGATATACCTTTTGTTAATTTAACAAAAATTAAAGATTGTAGAGTAAAATACTCAAGGGTAATAAAAGATACACGTTTAAAACATATTTTAGTTATTACAGAATTAAAACTAGATATAAACCTGCGAACCATAATTATGCGACAAAAATTAGCTAGATGAAATCAAATGCTCAAAATGCTTCCTTTCCTGTTGACTGCATAAAATGATTGTCTTTTCAAAACAATATTTTAATTTTAAAAGGCATATGAGGAGATCTACCTCGAAAAGCAGCTCCAATAATTTCTCTCATGTTGTCGACACTAGTTGGTCGAGTTTTGTAAACACTGTCTTTTACATATCCCCATAAAAAAAACAGACTAGATAAAATCAGGAGCATTTATGTATTCTACTAATTGGTGAGTGCATACTGCATTCACTAATAGAATCATATCAATTCTCTCTGATGTAGGATAAGTTTGCATTTTCGGCAAATTTCTGATAATTTTTTGTTTGTTTTAACTGACACAAAACGATAACTAGTTGTTAAAGTTGGACTGAATAGACAGCTATGTTGAAGTAACGTCAAACATATCATAGCCACCTAGATTCTATCAAATAATAAAGATCTACTCAGATCAAATCTTGTAAATGAAAATATCTAGGAAAATCTTTGTTTGTAGGCAACCTTAATAGTATTTTGAACAGACATGAATTTTAATTTTGTCTCACCCTGTATAACTTTTTGGATCAAGTTTTAATTTGATTTAAAGTACAATAGTTAATTTACCTACATATTAGGCTATACCGGGTAAATTCCAATTTAGGCAGCTATTATTGTAATTTAAAAATTGTTTTTTTATTTCTAGAAAATGTTAAATATGTCAAAAACCTTACATTTTAGTCATATACTTCTCTGATAAAACTGACCTTTACTTTTCTCCCAGGATCCGAAAATCAATTAATATATAGGGTGTTTCATTACAAAAAACACAACCTTGATATGTAACTTTTTTTGGGGACACCCTGTAGAACTCTCTATATTTTTAAAAAGTGATCTGTATTAAACTATATATGCTCACAAAATTTCAGTTCAATACAAACTGTCGTTCTCCTTGGAGACTCCGCGGCGTATGAGAGGCACCACCCTGTACATTGGCTTGCATTTAAAATAACAAAGATTTGAACAATTTTATAGTAAACAGAAATATTTTTTTATCTCCCCATTTGATATCCAATCGGTTGATTTAGACCTATCTAATATGTCGACTTTCCTTAGCCAGTGAACCAAATTTCATCTTTCAATATGCCGAATTTATGAATTAACCAATGCTTATTCAAAATTATGTTTTATCAATTTTCCTTTATTTTATGTTTCGAAAACTGTTAAAGATCGTTAGTATAATAGAAAAATTATGAGATACAAAAGTAATTTCGAAAAACTGTAATACTATACCAGGTGTTCCATTTAAAATAACAAATATGCTACCACTTTTAGTATGAACACTGTAACAGGAACACTGTAATGCTGAAAATAATTTAGACTGATATAATGTAGGTACTTTTAAACAAAAATCCAAATTTTCAAAAAAATCCTATTACCGGTTCAGCATAAACAGCTAAACTATCATGGCCATGAATCACCCTGTATATTAATCAAAGATCAATTTTCTTGCCATATACTCAGAACTTTTATTAGGTAGATATTTATATGACTTTTTTCTGAAAAGTGTTTCGCTCTCAAAATTGATTAAGAAATCGAACTTGGATGAAAGTGCGTTGTAAATAATGGCTGTAAAACTAAGGATTGCTTTTTTAACGGTCTCTTTTATGAATACGAGTAGGTGGCTAAAAATTGCAAGTTAATTATCTTCGTCTGCGGTTTGCCATGAATTAATTTTCGTTGACCAAGAAATAAAAAGAGATGAGGTCCCCAAGATGCCCTTAAAGGTTTTTTGTTCATTAGGTCTGTATAAATATGTAAATTTCAATTTCTTATAGATATTTATTTTTTGGATTACATTGAAACAGACTTTGTGTACGGAAATCAATTATTTGTAATATAGTAATTATTTAGTAAAGTAATTAGGTGCCAAACTAACTTTAATTATGTAAAAAATCCTGTAAATGAAATTCGCTAAGCAATAAAGATATATTAAGTGTACGGTGTTTTTTTTATTATTTTAACATGACATGAAAAATTTGATTTTGATGTCAATGGATGTCAATATGACTCCTAATGCGCAGTAAAAAATATCTGTTTTTTACGCCAAAAATGTATCTAGGTAAAAAGCACTACAAGTAATGGTTCTCAAGATATTTGCAATCAAAATAATCAATACTTTATCATCGTCAAAAATTAAACATGTGAACTACATACAGTTCATACCAAATAAACCTTCAGTCGTGTGATTAAACTTGACCGGCACTGCGTTCCCCACTTATATATTTTCTTTTAATTAAAATATTTTAGGAAACAAAAATAAATTAATTATAAATATATAAACAGTTATTATTTTATCAACACGGATTAGAATGCAGAATTCATTTAATGAGTTAAGTTCTAGAGTAGACATAGACATTTTTTCGTTGTCTTTTTTGAAATTTAAAAAAATTATAAATTATTATTAATTATATTATTATAATTATATTATTATTATATTATTATATTTTAATTATTATATTTATAATTATATTATATTATTATTATTATATTATATATTTCTTTTTTTTTTTTTTTCACAGCTTAAAGCCGGTTTTAGCGACTAAGTCGGGAAATTCTTATCAACGACCTAATCGCGGTTCAACACAGTGCGAACGATAGAACCGGTAAAAAGAATTGTGGACTTCTGCATGGTAGAGATGATTCCTTCCTGGTTGTGAAGTTGGAGTTTCTTAAGGCTTTGAACAAGGTTTACGTCTACTAGGCCGTTATAGGTAAGTATTATTGGTAATATAAAAGTCTTGCTCAAATCGTATATGGCTTTTAGTTCTTGTGCCAGTGCCTCATATTTTGTGATTTTCTCTTTTCTTGCATTTTTAATATTTTCGTCTAGTGGTATTGTGATATCCAGCAGGTAAGCATGTTTCTGTTTTTTATAGAAGACTACTATATCAGGTCTATTATGCTGCACAGTACGATCTGTGATGATGTCAGTATCCCAGTATACTTTTACGTTTTCGTTTTCTACTATATTATATTATTATTAATATATTATTTAAATTATAATTATTATTAAAATTATATTATTATATTTCTTCCTCTAAAAATACATATAATATATTACGTTTACATTTATAATATTGTTAAGGATTCCGTGGGTCCACTATTTAAACTCACGATAAAATACTTAACGAATTTATTTGTCTCACTCTGTACACACAACTTATACTATTTACAACACAATTTATGCAACTACTATTACTCTAACGGTATTTCGCGGTATTATCAAACTTCAGACTTCAGACTATCTTCAGACTATCTTCAGACTGCTCCAACTGTCAAAGCGCGGGCCTTATATACACCCTGGCGATGGTTTCTGGAATGTTCTAAAGAATTCTGTAATTCTCTTTTACTTTCTGGCGAATTCGCCAGGTTCCTCAATGCACGTTACGGTTATGTAGCAGTAATGCAGTTATGCAACCAGTAATACACCTTGATCTTGACATTGCCCCCTTCTCAAATTTGATCGTCCCGATCAAGGTTTCCTGTCTGGTATCACTTCAAACGATCGAGATGACCTACTTTCATCTTACTTCCAGGGCTGCGCTGAATCCGGTACACAACACCATTTATCCTCTTGATGACTGTATAAGGACCTTCCCATGCTGTAGTTAACTTTGGGGACCTTCCTTTCTTGAGCTGTGGGTTATACAACCATACCCTATCGTCCTGTTGAAATCCCGTAGAATTAGCTCTGAGGTCGTAACGAGCTTTTATCCGGTCACTGGCTAGCGTAATCTTACTTCTCACGGCCTTATGAATTCCCAATAACCTTTCCTTCAGTTCATCCGGGTAGTCCTCTACGTTCGTGGTGCTGTCGTCTGGTGATCCGAACACCAAGCCACAAGGCAACCCTAATTCTCGACCAAATAAAATCTTCGATGGTGAAAGTCCGGTGGTGTTGTGAACTGCACTTCTATACGCCATTAGGAATAGTGGTATATGCTGAGCTCTTCTTCTCGTTCTTTACGGAGTCTTTCTTGTTCTTCTGCCTTCTCTCTTCTCATATTCTCCATAAAATCGCCCAATAATTTGCTTACTTCCTCCATTTTCTTCGCTTGTTCCCTTGTACCAACCATAAAAATACTCTAATTCGGTCTAAAAATCTTCCAATCCACTTAATTTCTGCTTAAAATCATCTTGAATCCCACTTCTGACACCAATTGTTACGGATTCCGTGGGTCCACTATTTAAACTCACGATAAAATACTTAACGAATTTATTTGTCTCACTCTGTACACACAACTTATACTATTTACAACACAATTTATGCAACTACTATTACTCTAACGGTGTTTCGCGGTATTATCAAACTTCAGACTTCAGACTATCTTCAGACTATCTTCAGACTATCTTCAGACTGCTCCAACTGTCAAAGCGCGGGCCTTATATACCCCCTGGCGATGGTTTGTGGAATTTTCTAAAGAATTCTGTAATTCTCTTTTACTTTCTGGCGAATTCGCCAGGTTCCTCAATGCACGTTACGGTTATGTAGCAGTAATGCAGTTATGCAACCAGTAATACACCTTGATCTTGACAATATATTACATTCAATTGCATTTTTTTTTGTCACAAATAATTTTTGTTATATTCCATTTTATATATGTATATCCTTATGTTTTATTGTATATAGCTTGCTGATTTAAGTATATCGTGGATGCTATTTTGGTACTACGTACTGTTTGCACCCCTAACATTCAATAAATAAATAAATAAATCAACAAAACTCACCTTTTTAACAGCACTTAAGGGACATAAAGGGCTATTACTACCACTTTCCAAATATTCAAATAAAGTTGTGTTTTTTTACGATTATTAAGCCAACCAAACCAAACCAAATCTTGTACCACGTTGCACTAAAAGAGGTTCTAAAAAGAACAATGTTCGACTGCAAGGTCTGCTAGTAAACTTTTTTAAGCTTAAAGTATCACAACACTTATTTGAACCAAAAACTCGTAATACAAAACCAAAGTGTCAAAACGAATGACAATGTCAAGAAATAAATAAATGCGGCAACTTGACATTTTTATTCAGCTACCACCTGAATCCCCAGCGCGAAATTTAAATTCCTGTGCCCGGCACCGAATATCTCCATGGTTGCAGCGTCTCAAGAGCATCCTGGAAATTAAAAGATAGGGTTTTCTACAATCAGGACTTGAGCACAAAAACGAAATTTGCAGTGTACCGAGCAATAATAATTCCCACCATGTTATATGGAAGTGAAACCTGCGCGCCGTACCGTGGACACATGAACGCATAACAAGTTGCAACAGAGACATCTTGGACAACTTTTAAGAATCAAATGTTTCCATCGTGTTTCAAACGTATCGATCCTTGAAAAAGCTAACTGCGAGAGTTTTGAAGTCATGATTACAAAGTCCCGCTTAAGACGGGCTGGTCACGTATGCAGAATGGAAGAAAACCGCATACCAAAATCTCTGCTTTACGGTAAGCTTGTAGACGGTAAGAGGAGTCCGGCTGGACAATTCAAAAGGTACAAGGATATTTTCTACGAAAACTTAAAGGGGATTAACATGCAGAATGAGTGGGAAGAAGCAGCTCACAATAAAACGGAATTATTGTAACGGGGAAGAATTATTGTAAACTCAGTTAACAGCGAAAACCAAAAAGTAAAGAGGCAACAAAGCAATGACATTTTTGAATGTCCGGAGTGTGATAGACAGATAACATCACGTATCGGGCTTTTCAGTCACAAAAAAGCTCATGAAAGAAAACGCCTTGCGTGGCCATCTTCTGATGCGTGTCGAATACTCGTCAGCGAGTAATGGCAGTATGTATGTATGTATGTGTTTTTCTATAAGTCAGTCATCTGCAACTATGTATACCTAAATATTTAACGTCATTACACTGTGGTATTTTTATTTGGTTTTTATTTTACTTCCCGTCTCATGGTGCAAGTGACATGGACTGATTCGGTTTTATTGACTTTTATCCTCCAATTTGTTAATCATTTTGATATTTCAGTTAAATTTCTTTGCAACTTTGCTGATGCGCCAAAGGTGGTTTCATCAACTGCGAGTACTGCAGTGTCATCAGCAAATGTTCCCGTTAGTGCATCTTGTGTGTTTGATAGGTCGGTTAATATTCCAGAAACTTGAAAAACGATATTGAGCAGATTGAGCATAAATTTCCGACAAAAATTCTTGATCAGATCACTCTTGAGTCTTGATCATCTGTTGATGATGCTAACATGGTTAACGAAACGCGCGTCCAGGGTAAAAGCAAAAGTGTTTTGATGTATTGTGGTGATTTAGTGTTTTATTTTGCTGTGTAACACCAAGGGGTCCAACCCCCAACTGTAAAAACTCTTGCGAGAAATGACTAATTCAATAAGCAGAAAAAATTTACTTTAAAGACGATTATAAGAAAATAGAGACTTTATAAGAAAATAGTTTTTAATTCAAATCTCAATAACAACAGTTATATAAATCTTTAATTAACCCTAATTTTTGTATTACATTTTCAACTTTTTGGCTTCAATGGCACGTGTAAAGTTTATAATTTATAACTCAGTTCTAAACTGATGTAGCTGACAGCTCCAATTTGATGACGTCGAGCATCTTAAAAAATAAGAAACATATATTAGTATTTCATCAAAAAAATTATACATTCTTATTGGTGGCCCATCGAAAACGTTCCGCAAGGCATAACGGCCAGGGTATTTTTTTCTTTCAAAAAATCCAAAAACATGTCAATTTTGTTTGTGAGGGGGACAACTTTTGCCCCAAAAATGATTGCAAAATCTTCAACCCTCTAAGCGGGGCTGTCATCCCCCAACTTTTTTCAAATGGGAAGGGGGTCAAGTGGCGCCGCAATGAAAAGAGCTTTCTATTCTCTATATTTCCCCGCTTCGTTTTTGAAAATCGTTCGAGTCATTGAGAAAATATGAAGGATTGAAATTTGAAATGTTTATTTAAACATTTATCAGAGTAAATGATAAGGATAAATTCCTTCGATCAATTTGCTGTTTTTTCTTATTATTTTTAGATGTTTACGCATTTTTTCACCTGCTACAAGATTGAACGATCAGATGCGGTAGTTCCTAGATAGCTGTTCTGTGACTTGTGTGTTGAAGTTCTTCTCAATTGCTGTCCTCCATTCGCGAACTTCAAGTTCCAATGCTTTACGCCCTGAGCTACTCGAGAACGGTTCTGAAAGGAGCTGTGCGCGATAGCCTGGTGCCTTCATATGGCGCGGAACAGTTCTGAACTTTATGACTCAATTGAATGGAGTGAGAGTATCGCGTTCTTGAACAGTTCAGAGCTGCACAACTGCGTGAATGGAGGACAGTAAGTATCGTTAAACTGACCCACAATAGAATTTCCAAAAATACCAGCCCACATGTTCAATTTCTGAGGATTTTGTGTATGCACCTCGTGAAAAACCCTGGGGCTGTCCTCCGCCCAGTACCGACAGTTGTGCCGATTAACTACACCGTTCAAAAAGAAAGTATACTCATCCGAAAAGCACACATTAAATAGGAAATTATTATCATTCGCCACTCGTTTACTCATAATTTCACAAAATTGCAAGCGACGATCAAAATCGTCTTCGTTGAGTTCTTGTACCAACAGGATTTTGTACAGGTGGAACTTGGTGTTTTTTTAATATCCTTTGGACACTTGTACGATTCACACCGGTCTCATTGGCTAATTTTCTTGTACTCAGCGTACTATCCATGGCAACTTGGCCCAATACGAATACTTCCATAGCTTCATTTACTCCAGGATTTTCCCTCTGCCTCTTTTTATTCATAACGGAACCAGTTTCGTGAAATTTTGCTACTAACTAGCGCACAATTTTGCCATAAAGCTGTTTGTCAGGATGGCATTTATTGAATATCCGCGCAACCCAATACATTCATGATTTTTAAAATAAAGTTTGAATATTTCCACTTTTTATGCAAGTGAGTACACCATAATTGTTAAAAGGTATAATATAATATAATAAATAATATCGAGAAGAACTTCAACGCACAAGTCACAGAACAGCTATCTAGCAACTACCGCACCTGTCTTTCAATCTTGTGGCAAGTGAAAAAATGCGTAAACATCTAGAAATAATAAGAAAAAACAGCAAATTGGTCGAAGGAATTTATCCTTATCATTTACTCTGACTTATCATTTACTCTGATAAATGTTTAAATGAACTTTTCAAATTTCAATCCTTCATATTTTCTCAATGACTCGAACGATTTTCAAAAACGAAACGGGAAAGTATAGATAATAGAAAGCCCTTTTCATTGCGGTACCACTTGACCACCCTTCCCATTTGAAAAAAAATGGGGGAGGACACCCCCACTTAGAGGGTTGAAGATTTTCCAATCATTGGGGCAAAATTTGTCCCCCTCACAAACAAAATTGACGTATTTTTGGATTTTTTGAAAAAAAAAATACTCTGGCCGTTATGCCTTGCTGAACGTTTTCGATGGGCCAGCCTATGTTATAACTTAAGGTTATATTTTTTTTGTAATAAATAAAAATTATTTCATTTTAAATCAAACAAAATTTAACTACATCAGTTTCAAGAGTTTTTGTAACTGTAAACGGAATAAAAGTATTACCTTTCATAAATTGTTGATTTTTTAAATCAAAATATGAACAAGTTTATTTTTCATTATGGCAAGCCTAAAATTAAAATCATTATTAGTTATAATAATTACAACTATTGTAATTTACAATTATTGTAAATTACAATATTAGAGGACGTCAGCTGTAACTCTAACTGAATCCGTTAATGATTTAGAACTCAAGGAAAAAATCACAAAAAAAATACTTGGGCGATTCAGATATTAATAGTGCATGCGTGTTTCTGATAAGGCAGGGATATTATTAATCTGTCGGTATGCATGATCGAGGTGGCAGTAGAATATAAGGAAAGAAAAAAAATGTTGGAGCGCGTCAGACATTCAAAATGGACAATAAATAAAAAGCAGCTTCTATCCAAAAGACTGATAAATTTGGACGCGAACAAAACTCGTGGCAGCTTTTTATATAGTACACAGTTCTCAGCACCACACTTTACTGATGATTTTAGCTACTTTCCTTTGTGCAGATCGGCAGATTATGTTATTCCCGTGGTTTTTGAACTTCCTTCAAAATAAAAGAATAACCACGTTCGCGAGAATGTCCAGGCATCGTTTTTTGCAACTTTGTGACCCATTTCCTTCCAGTTATGGCGCATTCTCACGACTCGTGTAATTGACAAACATTTGTAATTTGTAATTGGTACACAGGGTTTACATATGGTGCATCGGGTATCTACACAGAATTTCTAAGTTATTTATTATAGGAACTACGCCGCATTCTCGCCAGACCTTGTATGCCAATAAAAAATACTTGCCAAGTAGACGAGTCCTGAGAATGCGCCTTTATATTCTACTGTGTCAATTCCCACTCTTAATATCTTTCTTGCAGTTAAAAATATGGAAAATCTATATAGACAGATAGACACGCCAATTTTATTTGTAAGGGTAAGGTAATTTTATTTGTAGTGGTAAGGTAATTTAAATGAATATTTTTAGCCTTTTTCTTTCAACCCCCTAGGAGGGGTATGTCACCCTTACAATCTTAAATGCGAATGGGGGTCAAGTGGCACATCATTTTAAAGGGTGTTTAATTCTGTTTTCAGTGGTATCCTAGTTTGTTGCTTTTTGTCCAGAGGTTTCCGAATAACATGCCTGCATTGAGATTTTGGTTTTCAGGGTATTGTTTACACAAAAATTATTGCAATGGGTCTCCTTGTAGTACAAATGTGTCACTTGATCCCCATTCCCATTTAAGATTGTAAGGGTGACATCTACCCCTCCTAGGGGGTTAAAAGAAAAAGAATAAAAATATTTATTTAAGTGCCCCTTACAAATACAATTGACGTGTCTTTTGGATTTTTCATGTTTTTAACTACAAGAAAGTTATAAAATCCATGTTTAGGCTCCACTACTAATTTAGTTTATTTAAGAATTTATAGGGAAACTTGTACAAAATCGATCAATGAAATTTTTTATCACCAACATTTGGAAGCAAAAAAAGTCATTTTCTTTTTTGTGTGGCGGTTAGCTCTCTAGCGACCAACTCTGGAGCATGAAAATAATTTACAGCGAATATATTATAACTATAAAATATACCGGTAATCCGGTAAGATGTAAGATATTTCCCTAAGTTTGTCCTTCAAAACGGTGACTGAGCTACAGCTGACATACTTAAAAATAAGACTAGCATTCGTAAAGAAAAGTCTATACATAGACCTCTAAACTTGGAACCTAACTAGCCTTCTTAACTAAGCACCTTGTTTTAGTCCTTCCTTACCTCATAGTGATGTTTCAGCAATACACTCTGATCAACGGTATAGTTACAGTCGATACATTGATATTCTTTGTCCGATATTATGTGCTGTTTCATGTGAGCTTGGATTTTTCCTCTTGATCTACGAACGATACAGCAATACATACAGAAGTATATCTCAGTTTTGTGACAAGTATTTATCATATGCGATGTCAAATGAAAACGATTATGGAAAGTAAAACTCCTAAAATTAAGAAATAATATTAGCTAAAATAAGGTACTGACAAAAGAGTTAGCTCAAGAAGAGAAGTGTACAGGGTGGGTCAAATTCGACGCTTTTAAATGGAAACACCCTTTTCTATAGGAGATAGACGAAAACTAATATCGGTGTCTGGAGCTCAATTTTTGTCAAAAACATGATGGTGAAAACCGCATATCGATATCTGTTACCGTTTCGGAGTTACGGGGTGTTTTTCAAAAATGTGCATTTTTAACAAATCGCTGTAACTTTTTTGTTATGGAAAATGTTGTATTTCTATGAAAACATTTCCAAAGCACCTTTTTACATAGAATTTAATGGTTTGAGTATAATTTTTTTAACATTAATAATTTAAGCGTTATCAACAGAAAAATTGATTTTTTATTTGGGACATCCTCTATATTTTTAATTAACTGAAAAGAATTTAAAATTACCTTTCCAAAAATATAGCACACTTGATATTTTGTTATAATCCCCTTCGAAATACAGAGTTTTTAAAAGTTCGCCACTTTTAATTAGTAGGCTTTGGACCCCTTATTGATGATATGCCCTTAATGGAACTCGAAAACATATTTTTCCAGCAAGACGACGCACCGCCTCTGAACGCTGAAGTTATTAGCAAATTTTTGCAGCCAATTTCAAGAATAATTGGATAGCTAACCAAGATCCCAGCCGTTGGCCGTCGAGGCCGCCTGACTTAGAGCCCATGGATCTAATCTTATGGATATATTTGCGAATAAATGTTCCTTATTCTTCCGTATAATCTAGACAAGAATTAAAAATACTTAGCAGTTATAAAAGGGTATCTTTCATCTTTCACCCCCACTGAGTTAATGAATTCCGCGAGGAATGTTCAAAAACTGCCCCGTCTGTCCATAACAGATATAAGGTTAATATGTCGAACACCTGTAGAAAAATCTCATGTCTTGGTTTGCTATTTATTTTTATTGTTATTAGATATAGTTTAAATGTGTTGATGTTGGTTAAATATATTTTAAATTATTATAAAATTCTGCATCTCTCATAGCAAATATTATTTTCGTTTTAATTGATGCTATTAACAGCTAGAATTTTTTTGCATTACAGCCGGTGCCGTTCAAAGCCTATACTTATTTAAAGCGGGCGAATTTTTATATACTCTATATCTCGAAGAGGAATCGAGCACAATATCAAGTGTGTTATATTTTTGGAAAGGTAATTTTAAATCCTTTTCAATAAATTAAAAATATACAGGGTGTCCCATATAAAAATCAAATTTTCTGTTGATAATTCTTAAATTATTAATTTTAAAAAATTATACTTAAACCATTAAATTCTACGTAAAAAGGTGCTTTGGCAATGTTTTCATAAAAATACAAAATTTTCCATAGCAAAAAAGTTACAGTGATTTGTTAAAAATGCATATTTTTGAAAAACACCCCGTAACTCCGAAACGGTAACATATATCGATATGCGGTTTTCACCATCATGTTTTTGACAAAAATTGAGCTCCAGACACCGATATTAGTTTTCGTCTATCTCCTATAGAAAAGGGTGTTTCCATTTAAAAGCGTCGAATTTGACCCACCCTGTACTCTGTTTTTTTTTTCTCAGGTAAGATTTCGACAGACGTTGACAGAAAAAAAAGCAGATGACGTCCATACCAATCCATTCATTTAACTAAAAAAAAGTTTCTGATATTTTTTAAGTTAACTATGAATGTGTTTATACATAAATCGGTGATGTGTCATATCTTGTTGTTTTTAACCAGTTTTATTGGTTTATTTCAAAAATGACAGATCATTTTTCAATATTATTGGTTTGACGGAACGACGAACGACAAACGAACGCCGATGCGTATGAACTCGATTTAAGATTTTTGAGAGTTGTCAAACTCTTGCCAAATTATAGGTTATAATTTTGTATCAAATTATGTAAAATAGAAATGATAAATATTTTGCATTTTGGACTATGTTATTACGCGTGTTTCGTGTTTTTTAAAATGAAGTGGAGGAAAACTCGAGTGAAAATTAAGTGTTGACTATGGGGGCTAGAAGGAGGAGGCGAATCGACAATGGACATATTTGAAATTTCTGTCCCTACTTTAAAGCAAGTTTTTCGGTTTGACACCAGAGGCACTGTAAGCGCGTTAGATTGATCATTTGCATTGTTAGAATACGATTTAACTGTGTTTTTACTAGTTTTTTTTAAATTTATAGTTATTTTATTGACTATTAGCAATGTAACAATGAGTGTGATTAAAAAAACCCTATATAATAGATCTTGCTTCGTACATGACTGTATAAGTGGGACTTACAGTGGAAAAAAGGCAAATAAACAACGGGGTGAGAGAAACCCAAGCCTTTTCAAAGGTCCTAATGTAAGTAGTATAACTATTTATTTAAAAAAATATGGATAGATGTTAAGAAAAACATTCAAATTATATACTGTCAGTGTACAGATTAATTTTAAATTCAAATTAATAGAGAATATAGCCTAAAATCAACATCTGCGTAACATAACCTAGGAGGCCTTGTTATAAAATAAAAATAATTTACCTACTAGCTGGTGGCTAAAATTACCTGTTGATATGTATTAACCACCATTTGAACAGTGCTATTGAAAGTGAATTTACGCCAAAGCAATATAGTATTCTAATATAACATAATTCACTTACCCGAGATGCTTCATTTAAATTGAAAAATAATGTACAGTGGTTGAAGGACTTTTGATTGTGTATACAAACCATTTAGAATAGTTTTTATGAATAAGCTCTTTAAATTAATATGTAGGTATATTGTAGCCAGGTATTTATTTAGAATGCATTTTTTTAAATTATAATTCTTTGTGTTCTTGATATAACATGTTCCTTTTTTTTTATAAATGTTCCTGTTATATTTTTTTGGTATAGGTGCTAAATTGTATATTAAATTTATATACTGTATATTTTATTTATTAAATTTAGTGGAATTTAGTCAGTTAATAAAAACAAAAGTTGTAATGTATTAATATTGCTAAATAAATAAATATATGATGAAATAAGTCAGTGTATATTTACAACTCTTTTAAAATAAATTGAGTTCATTATTTATTCATTAAAATTTTATTTAGAAAAATGTACCTTTACAATTATTAGGTGACGTTGAATATAATACATCTTGAATTTAATTGTCTACGAAACAGTGACAATTTGCAAAACTTTGCTTATGACATTAAAACTTAAATTCAGAAAATCTAAAGAAAAAACACTATTGGACACAGGAAACGTTTCAGCTTAATGTACCTATTCTCTGGTTTCAGCTATAAAAAGTTATGGGATAGATAACACTGATCAAAGGGTGCAACAGTAGTGTTCATCTTCATTTTCCATTGAAGTTATTCCTGATAAAATACTTTTAATTTTCGTGATTCGGTTTCTGTCAATTGCGGTAAAACCACTACTAGTTTATTACGAAAGTTTTTAATGTTTATTAAAATGATATCACACTGAACTGTTGTAAACATATCAATTTCAAATGATTTTATTAAAAACGATTAATAAATCACTAACACAATCACACCATAAACTATTTAATTCGCATTTGTCACCAAGAAACAATTACTGTTTACATCAAATCAAAGGTTGAACTGGTGATATTTGTTGCTGGAAATTCTATCTTTTTTGTAGAACAGATAGGGAAGATAGGGAAGAATAGATAGGGAAGATTTATTTTAGCAGCTTATATTTTTCTTCGGTCTATGCACTAAAAAGAACCATATAATGAAACAATTTTATAATAACAACTTAGAAAAAGAATATCTAAAACCGGCATCTGATATAACCTAACTTCTAACTTACTTTTCAAACTCAAATTTAAGGTTTTGTATTCACAATTTTAGCCACGCACATTGTTCAATTAGAAAAAACACGTTTCTAAAAGGTAAATCTGCTAAAAATATGCCCAAATATTAACTGAACTCTATAATTTGTAACAAAATAGTAATTCTTGCCATAAGAAGCTGTGTATTTCTCAATCTGTCGGATCACATGCGCCCCTAACGGCGATTTTCGAACTTCATTTAGATCTCAAAAACTGGGCCCATAATTTTTGCGTTCGATTCGCCTCCTCCTTCTAGCCTCCATAGTGTTGACCCATACCATAGTTTACAGTTAATTATATTCGGTGCCCAGAGACCGCCAGAGATTATGGACAGAGAATTGTATTATTAGTCACAAATAAAGTTTGTATACCATCTCGTATATGGTACCAAAAACTGGAGTATCTGTAAAGGTGCGTATTCATTATCCGAACGAACGAGCGAGCGAACGAATGGAATTCGGTATATTTGGACGGTGGACCGAACGCATGCGGTCGTTCGTTTGTTCGTTCGCTCGGCCATCCGTTTCGAGTCGGTACATCAAAGACGTTCGCAAACGAATGGGTTAAGGTGTTTTCGTTTGGTTCTAAAATCCGGTTCCGTCCATACTACTACCGAACGAAAGAATGACCATTCGTTCGTTCGTTCGGATAGTGAATACGCACCTTAACATAGCAGCACACAATAGGTAAATAATAGATTTTAGTGCTGCAGAGAGATAATGTTAAAAGATACTGGTTTACAAAAATTATAAAATTAAAGATAATTAACCAACTTTTAAGGTATAAAATTCAGTAAGTTATTATTAATAAAATATTTTGTTTTATTTATTCCTATACAATATTGTTTATTTTTTATTTTTTTCATAAGTTATATGTTATATTGATAAATGTAACAATAAATACAGGAAGTTGCTTGAGCTTGAAACACGACTTGAAAGCACAAAATCTTTTTTATATCTTTTTTTGGTATATCGTGCCTTGCTTGTTTTGTATTAACACGTACTGTAATTGTTTTTAATAAAATAACTCGATTAGATTTTTTCAATTTTATACAATTTATTTTTCACAATATTTTGAAGTAATCACTTGTCACTCGAATTTTAAATATATTAACTTTCTGCTATGCGTTCCAATCGTACCAACTTA